GCAATGATTTTCTCAGAGCTCCCCTGTTCTGGCCACCAGCACATCTGAATTCTTTCTTTAGACTGAAGAGACAGGGGAGACTCTAAAATGGAGATTCCTTCCCTGGGAGAAAGGGCGGGCTCTAAACTCAAAGAGCTGCTCTCTAGGCCAATAGCTGCAAAGGGTCTGCAGATTGGCTTTCCTGCCTCTGAAACTGCTAACCTGTTAGGGCTTTGCAAAGCTGCAGCAGCCCTGAGAGAAATGCAAAGGAAGACACTCCAAACAACTAAAAAGGTAATGTAAACCAGGCTCCTGGGAGATGGAACAGGGAGACACAATTGTGCTGAATTCAACAAATTATCATGTCTATATGCAGAAACAAGTAGCCAAAACAGAAGGACATCCCAGAATTAACATTCTTGCACTTATTCAGCCTCTGCATGGGGCAGAATGCAAAGTAGAGGTGAACAATTGGTTCTGCTAGTGCTGCTGCTGGAAATGATTTGTGTGTGGCTATTTACACACTTCTACTTAACATAAAATACATTTATGTACATGCATTGTGGGGGAAAAGCAGATTAGAAATGCAGACACTTTTAATGAGTTTGTCACAAGAAATGTGTAATTGATTATAAGCATCTTACTAAGACGTGTGATGTGTGTGGTATTAATGGGGCTACTTTTTAAAAGTCATGCCAGATTATTTTTTTCCTTTTTTAATCTTTTTAAAAGATGTGTGATGTGTATGGTATTAATGGGGCTACTTTTTAAAAGTCATGCCAGACTATTTTTTTCCTTTTTAATCTTTTTGTAGAGTAACAAACTTGGTAGATTAAGACAATGTTGTGAATGTAGCATAGTATAACAATAGCAGCGATTTGGCTGAGTAGTAGAGAGATTTTTAAAATTCAAATCTTTAGATGGGGAAATGTATGTAAAAATAATCCCAACCGCTGCTTTGTCAAATTACAACGATGACACCACCACTACAGACTAGCTCACCAAAATATAGAGCTCACAAAAATATAGAAGGAGTATAGTTGTTGAACCAGCTAAATATTTAAAAGTTAGGAACTGGGAACCACTGGAACTGAGAGACTTAAAATGATTGTTTAAAAGATTTCCGCTGCCACCATATTAACAATAAACAGGCTGAGGTGTTATTGAGAGGTTGTTCAGTAACACACTCTGTGTCACTATAATGTTCTCAGAAGCTGCTGGAAGCTGACTTGAATAATGCTTTAACCACAAAGGTATTCACGCTGAGGCTTGTATAAGCTGATAAAAATAACAAGAACATTTATTGAGCAGGGTTGAATATTTCAGGTACAAATGCTTGATGGTTTCAGTAAAAGACTGGCATAAAAAAACTTGTGGTTATGTTTGAGTAAAGATCTTAAAACATCTGGGTTACAAGTCTTAATAATTTCAACACATAAAATTACT